TTCCTGATAGGGGCTGTTCAGTCAGGTGTGTAGAGCATGTGGAGTAGAGTCAGTGCTAACTTAGGTAGATAGATATAGTACGAATGAGAAAAATGCATCTTTCTGTGTAGAACTTCAAAAGGCACAGATATTTTATTACCATAGCATATCCCAGCAAGTTTTGTTACAGATTCCAAATTCGGATAGTAGCTGTGTCAATTTCTGGCTGGGTTCAAATCTGAGTCTGCTCTTACTATGAAATATTGGCTTTAGTATCTATAAAAAGGGATTACTAATGGTATCCAGCTTTTAGGGACATTATGAGGATTAAGTGGCTTAAAAGGGCTAACTGGGTTATTATTTATAAGGGAATTAGAGTAGTGCCTAGCAAGTATTAAAAACTATTAGTGTTTTTAATGAATTCATGTTTATTTGTGTGTGTGTATATGTGTGTAGAACAAAGTCTAGGAAGGTATACAAGAAAGTATTAATAGTGATTTAAAATTTTGCTACCTTTTGTTTAGCTACGTCTTTGAGTTTTTCTTCAATGATATGTATTTCTGGTATAAATTTTTTTAAAAATCTATTAAAAAAGTACTTTGCATTAGGAGTCTGTCTAAACAAAGTAATTATAATTGTACTAGAGGCCCAGTGCACAAAATTTGTGTACTGGGGGGGGGGGGGTGTTGTCTCTCAGTCCAGCCATCCTCTCCAATCTGGGTCCCCTTGGGGGATGTCTGACTGCCGGTTTAGGCCAGATCCCACAGGGCTTAAACGGGCAGTTGGACATCCCCCTAACAATCTGGGAGTGCTGGCTCCTAATGGCTTGCCTGCCTGACTGCCCCTAACTACTTCTGCCTACCAGCCTGATGACCCCCTAACCACTCCCCTGCTGGCCCAATTGCCCCCAACTGTCCTCCCCTACTGGCCATCACCCCTAACTGCCCCCCTTGTCAGCCCAGTTGCCCACAACTGCCCTTCCCTGCATGCCTGGTCACCTCCAACTGCTCTTCATTGCAGGCCTGGGTCTCCCCCTGCAATTGCCCTTCCCTTCAGGCCTGATCACCCCCAACTTCCCTCCTCTGCCAGCCTGGTTGCTCCCAACTGCCCTCCTCTTTTATTAGATAGGATATCTAAATGTGTGACTGTCCTAAACATGAGCATGTTCATAAATTACATGAATGCATTTTGGATATACTAGATGGAGATTTCACACCTATTTGAATGATGATTTCATTGGTTCAATGGATGATGCTGAAGAGGAAAACTTTCCCATCAAATTTCTCAATACTATTACTTCTTTGGGAATGCCATGTGATAAATTAAAATTGAAAGTAGGTGCAATCAAAAGATTGTGACCTAACATAATCAAAGTTGAAGTATTAATAGCATCGAGGGTAGGAGAAGTTCTGATTCCAAGAATTGATTTCTCACTGTCTGACACTGGCCTTCCATTTTTTTTTTTTTAAATATTTTATTGATTTTGTACAGAGAGGAAGGGAGAGAGATAGAGAGTTAGAAACATCAATGAGAGAGAGTCATCTTGTGTCCACATGGGGAAGCCATCTTACATGTAGGAGGCTGGTGCATGGGTGGGAGCCAGCTGGTTTGCCCTGAAGGGTGTCCCGGATCAGGGTGGGGGTTCCGTTGGGGCATGGGGCGGCCTGAGCGAGGGGCCTGTAGTGGTTTGCAGGCTGGCCACACCCTCTGGCGACCCAAGTGGAGGCCCTGGTATCTGGGGTTTATTTATCTTCTACAATTGAAAATTTGTAGCCTGGAGCAGAGCCAAGCATTCTGCTTGCTCTGTGGCAGCAGCCATTTCTGTTGGAGTTTATGTATCTTCTATAATTGAAACTTTGTAGCCTTAAATGGAGGCCTAAGCAGGCAAGGACAGGTGGAAAGCTAAGCTTCCTCCATTGCCAGGGAAATCGAAGCCTCCCTAGTGCTCTCTGTGGCTGTAGCCATCTTGGTTGGGTTTACTTGCATATTCACTCCTGATTGACTGGTGGGCATGACTTATTGGCATAGCAGAGTGATGGTTAATTTGGATATTACTCTTTTATTAGATAGGATATCTAAATGTGTGACTGTCCTAAACATGAGCATGTTCATAAATTACATGAATGCATTTTGGATATACTAGATGGAGATTTCACACCTATTTGAATGATGATTTCATTGGTTCAATGGATGATGCTGAAGAGGAAAACTTTCCCATCAAATTTCTCAATACTATTACTTCTTTGGGAATGCCATGTGATAAATTAAAATTGAAAGTAGGTGCAATCAAAAGATTGTGACCTAACATAATCAAAGTTGAAGTATTAATAGCATCGAGGGTAGGAGAAGTTCTGATTCCAAGAATTGATTTCTCACTGTCTGACACTGGCCTTCCATTTTTTTTTTTTTTAAATATTTTATTGATTTTGTACAGAGAGGAAGGGAGAGAGATAGAGAGTTAGAAACATCAATGAGAGAGAGTCATCGATCAGCTGCCTCTTGCACACCCCCTACTGGGGATATGCCCGCAACCAAGGTACATGCCCTTGACCGGAATCGAACCCGGGACCTTTCCGTCCCCAAGCTGATGCTCTATCCATTAAGCCAAACCGGTCCTGGCTTGGCCTTCCATTTAAATTAATTCAAAGACAGTTTCTCATGATGCCAGCAGTTTCAATGACTATTAATAAATCACATGGACAAACTCTAGACAGAGTAGAAATATTCCTGCGCGAGCCTGTTTTCAAACATGATCATTTATATGTTGCTTCCTCTCAAGTTCAAAGAGTGTGTGATGTTAAAGGTAAATGTGTAAATACTTCATCACAAGGGAAATTAGTCAAGCACTATGAAAGTGTTTTTACTCTTAATGGGTATACAGGGAGATATTAGAATAAGTTTAATCAATTTATCAGTCATTATTTTTATATCATGTTTTTGTTCTTTTTATATCATGTCTTTGTTGTTATATCATGTTATTATTTATTTACTAATTAATTTATATATTATTTTCATATACATTTTACTAATTTTCTTTCATCTCTGACACTTCTATTATAGAGAATGGGTGAATAGCAATATTACAATATTTCTTCTAATTAAGTTCCTTTCGATGTGCGTAAACCTGTGCACTGGGCCACCAGTTTTATTATAAAAAGTCAACAGAAAAACAGGTATCAGTATGTGGAAATTCTATTAACGACAATTTTCTTGAACAATAGAGTAGGCAACACCTGTAGCCAAAATCTCGAGATGAAATGTTTATTATTATTCATATATTTTGTATGTTTGCTCTGAAAATGTCTTGATTTCTAATATCACCGAACCATATCTCCCTAAATAAGATAAACTTGTTGAATCATTAACGATTATACCCCTGCTTCTCCAAGCCAAGCTCAGATGCCAATGAAAGATGAGCTCTGGCTTCTAATATTACAACATTGAGGCAGACCAGTGAGGAGCAGCTTTGCTTTTTATGGACAAGGGGAGGGGTGCGATTGGGTCATTTGCTGGGATTGCTGTCATTGCAAGGAACTTTTCTTCGCTGTCTACATCCAACACCTTTTATCTTCCCTGCTGAGAAAAAGCCTTGCGAGGATTTACACACAAAAACCATGATACAAAAGCAATCATTAACACTCACGTCTTTGCCTAGTTATAGCCACTACAGCTAGAGAATCCCATGACTGAGAACAAGGATGGGAGAACAGAGGAGCACATCCCTATTTATTCTCTATGTTCATCATATGGGCTTTTGGTGGGGAGAAGCTCTGCGAGTACGTGGGAGGATGCAGAAGACTCCTCTGATGGTGCACATTCTATAACAGGTACTGCAGGAAAGTCAGAAAAGGCTTTCCCTAGGTGGTAAAATCTAAAAACTGATGACTGAGATTAAGCTAATGGGAGGGATAAGAAGAGAATTATTTTGGGGAATGGGAACAGCATGTAAAAAGCTCAAAGTAATAGCTGTCATTCCAGACATCCTTCCAGACAAAGCCACAGTGGCAGGAGCTGAGGCAGAGGTGATTAGGGGTGATCAGGCAGGCGGGTGATCAGGCAGGCAGGCGAGCAGTTGGGGGCAATCAGGCAGAGTGGATAGGGGTAATGAGGCCAGCAGGGCAGCAGTGAGGGACAATCAGGCAGGCAGGCAGAGGTGGTTAGGCGTGATCAGGTAGGCAGGCAGAGGGGTAGGGGCAACCAGGCAGGCAAGGGAGCAGTTAGGGGCAATCAGGCAGGAAAGCAGAGGCAGTTAGAGTAGACAGAGGTGGTTGGGGGTGATCAGGCAGGTAAGCAGAAGAGTAGGGCGATCAGGTAGGCAGGCAGAGTAATTAGGGGCGATCAGGCAGGTAAGCGGTTAGGAGCCAGTAGTCCTAGATTGGAGAGGGTGCAGGCTGGACTGTGCATGTTGAAGAGGGGACCCCCCCAACCCTGTGCATGAATTTCACACACTGGACCTCTAGTCTACATATATAAAAGGCTGAGTGATTGATCCTATGTCTGTTTGACTGCCCGACCAACCAGTATATATGACATGCACTGGAAATTTAAAAATAAATGCTGACTCATGCATGATACATATAAAGCTCTTGCTGGTGCCAATCACATGCATGTGTTTCGATCTGTCTTTGTTTATCATAAATTTGGTTGTTTTCGTTGACATTCTGAAGCTGAAAGCAGCATGGTTGATGGAATATGTCTGAAGACCAACTATTGGCACAATGTACCTCTGAAGCCAAAAGAAGCCAGTGTTATTGACAGAATGTATCTGAAATAGTTCTTCTAATTAATTTCCTTTCAATGTGCACAAATCTGTGCACTGGGCCACTGATCAAATAATCATAAATAAAGTAGTTACATTGAAAATTATAAACTCTGCTGAGAGTAATTAAAGAATTAAATAAACACATGATAAGATGTATTATGTTCCTGGATGTAAGAACTCAATATGGTTACATTTACTAAATGTAACAAACTAGAACCATAAAGTTTCTATAAGAAACCAGGAAGAGTCATCATAACCGTACAGTAGGTAAAGATTTATTAAAGAGGACACATAAAATATTTGATTATAAAATGATATAAATTAGGCTTCATGAAAATTAAACCATTCATTATGAAAATGAGCAGGTAAGCCACAGACTGGGAAAAATATTCTCAATGCATATATCTGATAAGACTCATATCCAAAACATATAAAGAACTCTTATAAATCAATAATAAAAAGCTCAGTTGACCTAATTTTACAAATGAGCAAAACTCTTTAACAGACATTTTCAAATGATGCTTAACATCACTAGTCATCAGAGAAATGAAAATTGAAACCATGATGGAATACCATTCCACATCCACCAGAATGGTTAAAATAAAAGACAGGCAATATCAAATGTTGGAGAGAGTTTAGAGAACTAGAACTTTCTTATGTTGCTGGTGGGAAATAAAATGGTAAAACCATTTGGAAAATTGTTTGGCAACTGACACTCATTTATTAATGACCCAGCAGTTCCACTACTAGGTATGTAAGAGAGATAAAAAATATATATCCACAAAAGGACTTGTACAAGAACATTCACAGGCTTCATTCATAATATCCTCAAAAAGGAAACAGTACAAATAAATACAAACAGGAGAATGGGTAAACAAATTTTAATATCTATGTATATAAAACCGTAATATGCAAACCAACTGAACAGCAGAACTACTGGCAGAATGACCAGTTGTTATGATGTGCACTGACCACCAGGGGGCAGATGCTCAATGTAGGAGCTGTCCCCAGCCTGCAGGCCCGGACCAGCAGCAGCGGCCAGCCAACGTGGGTGCGAGCGGGAGCTCTGATCATCCAGCTGGTTGTCCTACAGATTGACCCTGATCACCAGCCAGGCCTAGGGACCCTTCCCGTGCACGAATTATATAAATAATGGAATAATGTGAATATTTTTCAAAAATACCTTTGAGCAAAAGAATTCAGATACAAAAGACTACATACTAAATGACTTGATTTATTTCGAAGGACAAAAATAGGCTGAACACATGAAGTGTGATAGGATCAGAGAAGTTAGGGTGAAGGATATTGAAATGAAAGGAATATGCGAGAACTTTGATGGAAATATTCTATAGCTTATTAGTGGTGGTTGCACCGATGTACACTGCTGTCAAAACCTCTCAAATAGAACACTTAGAATCTGTTATTTTGCTGTCTGTAAATTACACCTTAATTTTTAAGAAGCTGAGGATAAGAGCATAGTGTGTTTATAGGTGCAAATGACTACTCAGGGTGGATGATTAATTCTTTTCTCAAATTTCATCCCAGAAAATAAGAATACATCCCCACTTTCATAATTTTTTTCCCCTGTATTTTACCCCACAGCGATAAAAGAGTTATTTATTAAAGACCTTTCTCCTCATGGTATGTAATAAAAGAGTTGAAACCATCCTATCTAATAAAAGGGTAATATGCAAATTAACCATCATTCCATCACAAAGGATGGTGGCGCCCATAGCCACAAGATGGTGGCATCCAGTCCTCTCAGCCCCGCCAGAGTCTCCCAGTCCCGGGAGGGTGGCCGCTAAAAGCGAGCAGCGTGAACAACCTGGCGCAATGCTTGCTGCATCGCTGCCACACCTGGCCATGGATGGGCCTCTGGGCTATGGAGAGCCTCTGGGCAGTGAGTGTGGAGCAGCCAGGCCCCACAGAGAGCTACTGGCACACAGATTCAGGGACTACTAGTCAACAATAATGAAATAAATCTTATCTGAAATGGAATAGCCCAAGACAAACCAGGGCTTGTGAGCCATAGGCGGCTCTTTGGCCCCTTGAGTGTTCTAACGCCACTTTTTCAAAACAGACTCATCCAGGCCAAAAACAGACTTTTGCATATGAGCCACGAAAGTTGCAATCCCACACGTGGTATTTTGTGGAAGAGCCACACTCAAGGGGCCAAAGGGCAGCATGTGGCTTGTGAGCCGTGGTTTGCCAACCACGGGCCTAGGACATGTTAAAAAGAAAAAAGCAGATTGTGAGAAAGGACATGCCATCTGTCCTTAAAACCTTTGGCCGATGGAATAAGAATTTGGGTAGAGAGAACTATTCAAATAAGCTTATATATACTGTATTTCTCCACCTCTGATTTATATTCAATAAGCTATATCCCCCAAATATGACTTATATCTGAAAAACAAATCCTGTGATCATTATGATATAAAGAACTTAACTAATTCAGTAATCTTTTTCAGATTCTTGAAAATAATGGGATCCTCAATAATGATTTAATTAATGTATTTACTGATTAGCTAGAATTTATGTCCAAATTATATATGTCCATAATGGAAAATATACTGCAATTATATTATAATGTCTTTATATAAAATGTTTGAGCCAGAGAAGATTTCATTAGGCGATTTATAGGAAGTATATTTAAATTGAGTATATGAAATAATGTACAAATCCAACTCACCCTAGCTTAAAAGTTTAATCATACTATAATTACCTGACTAGATTTTTAAAACAATGATAGAAAAAGTACTATTGTTAGAAATATAAAACAAACAAATCCCACTGAGTCTCATTTTGGCCTCCACTAGGGCATCTACATGATTAAAAGGCTACAAGTGCATTGTTTTTAACTGAACACCACATTAGCCAGATCAGAAAAGCTGTGAACTGAGAAGGAAATGGTTATTCCAGCGATGGAACCGCAACTAGAGAGTATGATTCTGCTGGCAGCCGAGACTTCAGGGGACTCTCACTATGAGAACCAGTGGACTTTTAATCACACATTATAAAAGCATTTGCAATGCTTTGCAGGCTGCCTTTCTTCAAAGATTTTCCTGCTGCTTTCCTTCCTGAGTACAATAGGTTCAAGATGGCTAATGCTGTTTCCTAGTTGTGCCAAGAACCTCCTGAATGCCACTGGGCTTTCATCATGAAGACAAATGGCAGAACATCAAATGGGAATATCTCCTTCTAAATGGGGACTCCAACGATCATGTTATTTTTGGGAGAGCAGCTCTCTGGCTCCATGGATATCACTTGAACGGAGTAGCCACGTTCTTCTGCAGCTCTTGCTCGGTCCAGATCCACCAGGCACATGCACTGCTTTCCTGAAATACAACCCATGGTATCATGAGATCCTGTCCAGCTAACAGTGCCATTTCAATGCATTTAAGGGACTCTATCCAGTGACAAAATCTGTAGGTGTACAGAGAATGCTGTTTGCCCCCAAGTCCTGTTTAGTGTCTCTTTCAATTTAATTCTTAATCAGGATGGAGAGAAAACAATTACAAATGTATGACATTTCAAAGATCTGTTCCTGCTAGTAATTTGAATGTTAACCTTCTAAAATATGTTTATAAATCAATCTCAAATAACAACTACAGATTGTTTCCCGCTTTGATTGAAAATCCATGTGGAGACCTTTACTCTTCATACCCTAGGAAAACACATTATCTGTCATACTGTGAGACAAATACTATCTGTTTTTCATAGCTAAAATGACATGCAAACAGAGGGCCATCTGAAAGAATGTTGCAGTTTGCACCTGGAGTTTTTAGGACAACAAAGAAGTGAGAAATAGAAAATATTGGTGAACATTCTCAATTGTGTCCTGATTATTTCAGGTAGAAGTGTAATGCTGAGTGTAATAGAATGTTAATTTTCAGAGCTCCTGTATCATATGAAATAGCAGTACTGAATTTTCTTTGTAACCTTTGGAAAACAAGTGGAAACCTGACTGGCAAGTAAAGTAGTGAACTTGTGTTCATTTGGCAAACTTCTATTTCAAAAGTAGCCCAGGAAAAAAAGGATTTGGGGTTGAATATATTAAGAGTTGTGGCTTTTAGACTTTCAAGTTCTTTAAATTCAATACATAAACTCCTTCATCCTCTTAGAAAAAGGTTACTGACTCTGTAAAATTTCATTCCATTTTTACTCAATAACTATAATACCTAAGCATTATTTTTAACGAATGTATTTAAAAGACGGCTGATTCTGCTAAATGAAAGTTTCAGAAGTGAAGACAGAAAACTGAAATAGAACAGCTCTTCTGTGGAAGACAGAAGAAGCCTCACAGAAAAACTGGAAGGTGAAATCAGTAGGGAAGAATTGGCAACCAGAGATTCTATTTTAAAATATTTTGTATATTTTCCTTAAAAGGCTCATGCCAAAAAAGATTAACTGTGTCAGAGTGATATAAAAAAAGATGTCCATGATTCCATTTAAGCTAAATCACCCCGTCTTTATCAACAGCCATATGGCTAACTTTTTCCCCCTTAAACTATGACTTCTGTAAACGCCCCCTCCCACCTCCACCTACTTTTCAACTTAAATGAAACATTCTCTGTCAGATGGGATGTTCTACATTCCTGCAGTACGCACCCTGGGCTTACCCCGCAGCTCATTTAGCCTTGGCTTTGCTCCCTGTCCAGTTAAGTTTTCCTTTTCCATTACAGAGAAGAATCTCATGTGTTCACATATAGAGGCAGCATCTTTACAACTGAAATCCAGTTGTGGGAAGTCTACCTTTTAGGGCCTGGGAAGCTTCCTAAAACGTTCACAGAAAAAAGTATGACCTGTGCATAGTGCAGATGTAGACATTTGATGGAGTCTGACTTTGAACCTGACTTTCCCACCCTTTATACCAGTGATCATGCCAAATGCCCCTCATCCTTAACTAGCAGCTTCCCTTCCAGTCAGTCCCTTCCGGTTTAATGCCTGAAACATCACCATGTGCTCCCCCACCCACCATACCAGTGATGTCTTCTCTGAGTCTAGTGAAGTTATATAATATGTAATTCTATATATATGTAAATTATACCTCAGTATGTCTATATATATTGGGCTGCACATCAAATGTACATTCAACTAATTCAAAGTATTGGAATGGGAAAAGGAGGAGGAAGTGGGGACGAGAAAGAGAGAGAGAGGTGGCAGGCAGGAAGGAGCAAGCATTTTCCATATGTTTATGCACCAGAGTGTGAGAAAGGAAATCGCTTGTTCCTTCAGCTTCAGGTCTCTAATGCCCCTCTATATCTTGCTATGCTGACTTTGACTGTACAGTTTAATGGCAACTAGTTCTCATATAACATGGCCCTTGAATGAAAGCTAATGACTACATCTGGCATTCTGTCGTGGAAACAAAACAGTAATCTGTTTTCCAGACCAGCATGGTCTCCAACGTGGGGCTTTTCTAAATAATTTTTAAAACTAGTTTAGACTCTACTCAATCACTGTAAGCCCAACTTTGGACTCCATCACTGGTGGGCAAAAATGGACAAGAGCTTCATGTCTGGAATCAAATAATTCGGGTTCATAGGGTGGCTCTGTCATCTATCAGATGAAGGAGCCTGGACAAGTTTTTGTCTCAGTCCTCTTGTTTCTAAAATATAAATAACAGTATGTACACACTCCATAGGCATTTTTGTAAGAATTTACTAAGATAATGGGTGCTTAAATGTTCAATAATTTTTAGCTGCTATTGTCCTTCTAAATATAATTTCTTTTTCTAAAGCAAAGTCTCGGATAAATTTATCATTTAAACTTGAAATGCCATTGTAGGCATTTCCATTTAGGCAATATTTAACATTATAAATGTCAAACATATTGGTCTATGATTAATAACATACAAGCATATATTTTTTTATGAGAAGGACAACATTGTCATTCTTGTTTATACATTTTTAATCCATCAATTTTGGTGTGCATAGTTGATCTTTTTTATTTTCTTATGGGGCTTTAGGTAGGTCCTTCAGTTTGTTCATTTCAGTATGAAAGATCTAACATAATAATTCTACTAAATGTACAAACATTAAAAATGTTTTTAATTTAAAGGTATTATTAACAAAAATGGGATAAAGTGTTGTTATTGTTGCAAAGCCTTTTTCAATATGGATTAAGTTTTCTGGGGGAAATAACCTTCAGTTTCTTGTTGATAAATGAACCAGTTTTTCCTATACAGAGTCGCTCCATTCATTCCTAGGCCTGCGGTACACAATCTACTCAGCAGCTGTGGTGAAACACATACCTATGAGCCTTCGTTGGGGTGGAAGCTGGACAGCTGTCTGATCTGCAAATCGGCACAGGATCATGTGTTCCTAAAAGAAAAAGCAATAGAATGTGGGTTTGTTTTAACCTTTTGCTTCAAAATTAAGCATTTTCTAAAACTACCTCATTTTTGTAGAGTTCTACATTAACTGAATAAAGCGCTGCACAAATAGTACTTCTGAAATAAGCACATTGTCAGAAAACAGCGCTCAGAACCTTGTTTCCCTTCAGGTAGACAGCTCTACATCTGAAGAGCTGTCTTAGGAACAGAGGCACGGAAGATTTTCAGGGCCATTTAACAGCTGCTTTTAGCAGAAATATACTTACAATTGGTGATTGTTTAAATTTTTCCTTTAATAAAATTTAAATCTCAGAAACATGGCTCCAAGAACACATTCTGAGTGGCATTTCCTCCTACTGCCAGCGGAAAAGGAAGTACTGCAGAGGATCACTGTCTGTGGCTTCTGTATTTCTCCAGACACCCAGCGGAGGGCTGGCTACTTGTCCGCCCTCTACCCTTTGCTCAGTTCCCCACTTTTCCCTGGCTCACTCATTCTCCTCTCACTCCAAATGCTGCAGGAGGTGTACTTTTTTCTGCTTTAAGAGGAACGTAAAGTGGATCTGAAGGAATGGGAGGGAAATTATTGCTTCTGCTTAACAATGTTAGGAAAGGTGCATTAATAAAAAGAGAAGAAGGCTTTAAAGGGATGAGAGCTGGTGAGTTTGCACAGCACTCGTAAACCTGCAAGTCGCCAAAGGTGAGTGATTCTTTGCAGTCAAGATGACTGTGGTGCTCCCAGGACCCTGGTTGGGAAACTGTGGCTCCAGAGCCACCATGCGGCTCTTTGGCCCCTTGAGTGTGGCTCTTCCACAAAAAACCATGGCCTGGGCGAGTCTATTTTGATGAAGTGGTGTTAGAAGAAGTTTTAAGTTGAAAAAATTTGGCTCTCAAAAGAAATTTCAATCCTTGTACTGTTGATATTTGGCTCTGTTGACTAATGAGTTTGCCGACCACTGTCCCAGGACAACTGTTCACTCAGAACAGCTGCACTTTCTTGTAAATGATCTCACCTGTCAGCTTAGCCAACGGGTGGAACTCAGCTTCATCATCTGTCTCCTTGGTCTTCTTGTACATTCAATTTGCAGCCTCCAAAATTTTTAAATGCGGTAATTGAAATGAGTGTGATGCTAGGTCTTTTAGAAGGGTTAACTTTTTCTCAACTTCAATGCATTTTAAAAAACATTTCAATGCTCATTGTAAGATTTAGTAGCAAAGCCTAGAGTACTAATAAGATGGTTCAAATAAATAACTTTTATTAAGTTTCCATAAGTCAAAAAGGGGCAGAAGAATTTAGAACTATATAACACGACAAAAAGGCAAGAAAAAGCATGCCCTTTGTCCTCATGATGTTTGCAAGTTAAGATTCATTTTAAATATAGGTAATACTGAGGCAATCACAATCTCAGATGAGGTTTGTTTCTCGTGTCCTGATAAGTCCCACCCATACAGAAGTAATGGAATTATCTGTGTATGTGTTCTCCCCTGCAGAAGTTAAAGTCTGAAAGGGTGAGGCACACAGTAGGTCTCACCTACTCTGTTGGCTAACTGAACATGGAAGAGAACATTTCTAAAGTGACTCTCAAGAGATTGGGGCACTAAGTCCATGTAGTTCTATCTGCCAGCCCACCCATCATGGTTAAGTTAGGAAATACTGAGATACTACGTTGCCATAGAATACAAGAAAACTTCTCTATAGAGCATTTACATCTGAGATCCTCTCTCATAAAGGCTGGTGGCCAAGCAGCCCTGCGGGGTGTGGGAGGAAGAGGTGATAAAGACCAATTGGGCACCAAGAGAGGGTTTGCCTCTCTAGAAGAGGCTGGGTGCCCTGTCTCTTTCACCTCTAGGAATTTTTCTTTCCTTTCTAGGCAGGAAGATTGCGGCACCTGACTTCACTTCCCTAGGCTTTTGCTACACATTCTCTCAGGGTTTGCTTTACCTAGCATCACTCAAGGAGGGATTAGAACAAGGCTCTAGTTTTTGTTTATTTTTCAATTATTTTTCTACTGTATTAGCAGGCTCTTGGGAGAGAAAGATGAAGTGTTTTGAATCTTAAAAAAATAAAGTTCCTGGGATACTAATTTTGCCCCAAATCTTGTAGTTTCCCAGGATATGAAAACCTAAATCCAGTAGGCAAAGATGAGAAAAGTGCCAGCTCTGAATAAAAACATGAACATGAAGTCTCTCTCTTCTCCATAGGGTCTGTGTATATGGTTGGGCAGAAGTGAGGGGTCGGGGAGAGGTGAGAGGTAGAAGACAGAGTTGGAGCTGGGCATTTAAGAGATAGAAGTGAAGGAGATATAGGTGCTAAGGTGGTAGAATGAACATTTTTAGGTCGCTGCACCTATTTCACTATTGGAAAGAGAAGGTTAAATTTTTAGAAGGCAAGGCTGATATATAAAATGATACTATATATTTTATATATTTTAGTGAGTTTTTGCCAGAAGTCAAAATAACTAAACTAAAAATACAATCTAATTCATCAACTTTTAATAGAATTATTCATGTATTTCTCACAAATATGATGATTTCTTAGATTGTATTATGTCATGCTATTGATCATTTAATTAGTAAATAGTGATGCTCACAAAGCTAGAAACTGGGGCTTCTGGAAAGAGAGTGGCATTGGTAAGTGCTGTACTTGCATCCTCCAATAACCACACCAAAATACAACTAAACTTCAGAACAGCTATCATTCAGAACCGCCCAAAATCTCCCTGAACGAAAGTCCTACAACTAAAGATATAAAGAAGCCAAATCAAGATTGGTAGGAGGGTTGGAAATTCAAAATGGGCTGGTCCTACACTCATATGTGATGGATAAAAATTGGGAGGAGGGCACAATATCTGAGACTCCATCAAACTGGCTATCATCATTCACACTGGCCTAGTGATTCCCTGATACACCACCTCACCAACTTGTAGGCCCACCCACGCTGTTTCCAGTGGCTTTTCCATATGATAGCGTGTTTTGGCTCATGCTTCAGACTTTCCTAAAATCTTTTTAAAACACAGCATCTGGTCTCAGCATGCCCTGTACCTCTTGTTAAATGGCTCCTGGCCCAGTACTAGCAGCAGCTGGCTTTGGTTTTCAGCTTGGCCTCTCCTGGACAACTCCAACCTCCAGGACCAGCACAAGAAGCAGCCATCTGCAGATCGCTTTGTAGCTCATGCCAGATGGCTCTGGGAAGAACACAGGTGGTGGCTGAACTTGGATTATACCTCCTGGGAGGCCCCAGAGCCAGCATACCAGGTGGAGAGCTTCAGACCACATTGAAGCACCACTCAACCACCTCCACAAGTGACAAACTCAAGGGGTTGGCTCAGCAGGCCCCTTTACAGTTGATCCTCATGGTGGTCACAACCAGTCCTTGTAGCTGATCATCCTGGGCGTAAATCCCTCCTACTGATGTGGTAACAGAAATCAAAACTCAACAACAGGAGTGTGTACACAGTCCATATGGTTGTTGGAGGGGCACCTGGAGTGCCCAGTGCCAGTGAATGGGAAGGTTTTCCGAGAGTATACCTACTACATTAGGACACTCTACCAAGTTCAAGTGATACAGGAGTTCTACCTAATACATAAAAACAAACGCAGGGAGGTGGCCAAAATGAGGAGACAAAGAAATGTGTCCCAAATGAAAGAACAGAACACAATTCCAGTAAAAGAACTACATAAAATAGAAACTAGCAATCTACTAGATACACAGTTCAAAATACTGGTTATTAGGATGCTCGATGAATTTAAGGGAAGGGTAGATGAACTTAGAGAGATATTAAATTGCATAAAAAGGACATTGAAACAATAAGAAAAACCCAAAAATAATACACTAACTAAAATGAAAAGTAATTTATAAGAAATCAATAGGAAGGCAGATAAAGCTGAGAATCAAAACAGTGATTTGGAATATAAAGAAGCAAAAAAAACCCACACAATCAGAACAGCAAAAAAAAATTTTTTTAACAGAGGATAGTGTAAGGGGTCCCTGGGACAACTTCAAATGTACCAACATTAACATCATGGAGGTGCAGGAAGGAGAAGAGGGAGGGGAAGAAATTGAAAACCCACTTAAAACAATTATGACAGAAAATTTTCCTAACCTGGTGAAGGAAATAGACACACAAGTCCAGGAAGCATAGAAAGTTTCAAATTAGATGAACCTAAAGAGGCCCGCACCAAGATTCATCATAATGAAAATGCCACAGCTTAAAAACAAAGAGCAAATCTTAAGAGAAAAACAGTTAGTTACCTACAAGTGAGTTCCCATAAGACTGATTTCTCAACAGAAACTTTGCAGCCAGAAGGGAGTGGCAAGAAATATTCAAAGTGATAAAAAACTAAGGACCTACAACCAAGATTACTACTCAGAAAAGCTATCATTTAGAATTGAAGGACATATAAAGAGCTTCTCAGACAAGTAGTAGTAGTAGTAGTAGTAGTAGTAGTAGTAGAAGAAGAAGAAGAAGAGAGAGAAACATGAACAATAAAAATGGCAATAAAAACATCAATGAATGAATATAAAAACAAACAAGCAGGACAAAAAGATTCATAGATACAAAGAACATTTTGATGGTCAACAGATAGGAGGGGGGTTGGGTGAAAAATGTGAAGGGATTAAGGAGTACAAATTGGTAGTAACAGAATAGTCATGGGGATGTAAAGTACAGCACAGGGAATATGGCCAGTAATATTCTATAATAACTATGCCTGGTGTCAGATGGGTACAAGATTTATCAAGATGATTACTTAGTAAGTTATACAATATCTAATCACAGGCTGAACACCTGAAACTAGTGTGATATATCAACTATAATGGAAAAATAAAAAATTTATTAACAAAAAAAAAGAAAGCTCGAAACTGTTCTGCACAGGTTGGTAGCTCAGAACTGTGCAGTGTGCTGACTGCCACTGGGAAACAATTCTCCGAGGGCTCCTGTGTTTCTTCGTGTCTGTGAGCGGAGGCACTGCCTTTGTTTCAGTCAGGAGCTGGCAAACTATGGCCCCCAGGCCAAATGCTGTCTATGACCTGATTTTGTGTGGCTCAAACGTTAAGATTATTTTTTACATTTTTAAAGGGTTGTAAACTTACAACACAGACAAGGACAATTAGAATATGTGGGAGGTTTGTAAGTGGCTGGCAAAACCTAAAATATTTACTTTTACCAATAATTTTGTCTCTCTTCCAGATTATCCTTTTAAAGATGTTTGCATAGGAAAAGGCCTTAGAAACTATATAATGTCTCCTTTCAGAGTAAAGGGCAGGCATTCTTCCTTAAAGATTACATCTTAAAACATTTGGGTTTCCTAAGCTCAGGTTTCTTTTCCTGTAATGCAACTCACTGTGTGTGTATAAGGGTTACCTGGCTCTTTATGTGTGCCCTGTAGACATTGAGCCTCAGGAAGTCAGAGCAAAAATGATAGTCTGGCTATCCCTCTCACTGTGAGCAATAGCTGTGTTTGTCACTGACACAGGAGTCTCCTGTCTTCTCTCAGCATCCATGAGACTATGGCTGGCTAACTAGTTGGCTTGCAACTAGGATAAATGCTTAGACCATTTATGAAAACTTGTCAACTATGTAAAGATTAACCTTGATATCAAAAAGAAAATCCACATTAGATGTTCTTGAGTAATTAAAATATAACTATGGATTATATACTCTATTAGAAATCTGAGAGGAAAATATATAAAAAAGATAAAAAGTATATTAAGAATACATCTAGATCTTTAAAGGTTACCTTGTATGATAAAGTTTTCTTAAATTGTTCACTGAAATAGAAAAGAAAAAGAAATTAGTAATTTGAATACCAACTATGAAGAATAGTCTTAAAGGAATTAAAATTTTATTTAAATTATAAATAAAAAATATATTTTATCTGAAGTGTATGTAATGCTACCCTGAACTAAAAACTATGCCAGTTTGAAATGACTTTATATAAAGGCAAAAACATATCATCAGTCTGTTATTAATTACAAATTACTTCAAAGATTGTTTACACTATTAGAGAAGCACAGTCATTTTTTCCCCTCTTCCCCGCATGAGTGCCCACAGATTTAATCTGTTTTAAAATGTAACTTTTACTGTTAGTCAGATGCAGAGAGTCCAACAGATCAGGAGGGGGCTGCCATTAAAAAGACAGTTTATTCCTCACAGTTCCCAGGAGAAGGGGATGACATGTAATGATGCAGGGCCCCTTAGGAAGTACGAGAAACCAGGAGGCAGGGGTGATGAGCCTTTATTGCAGGTTCCCTGGGAAGGCATGGCAAGGCACAAGCTTAGGATTGGCTAGTGTGAACAATGTGAGCAGTCTCTGGGGCATATGGGCTGTCCCTAGTTGTCTGCTACCTGGCCCCGGAGTGATTAGGGCAGGGGGATAGTGACCCTGGAGAGGTTCTCCAATGACAAATGGGGCAAATGTCACTATATCTGCAGAGATGCGATTGGCAGATATTAATCTGAGACTTTAGAATCAGTTAAGTGAGACTGTAGGATGGGCAACTCAAATTAGCATTCTTAAGAGTCTTTTTATTGCTAGCCTTAAATTTCTTGGTGGGTTATAAAATATGCATTTTATTTAAATAGGTTTAGAATAAAATGAAATTTCAGCTATTGAACAAGCTGTAAGTTATAGTTTATTTTTGGCTTGTTCAGCATTCCTTTATTTTTCTTTTCTCAGTTAGCTGCAAATTATAGTAAAGAACAAAACAATGGAAGACAAAAATAAGAAGGCTATTGTTTGTACTTTTAACTCTAAATTACATGGGTAAGAAGCTTTTAAATATAAACACTAATAAAGTTAAATTATAAGATTTCTTAGAAGTAATGATGCAAATGATCAAGAAATCATTTTTGACACATTATAGGATAAACTTCCAAAATTAACATATTGAATCTGTTCTATAGTTAAAATGATTAGCATGATTCTCAGTAACTATGGCTCAGGGAGTGAAATGTCATAAACACTAAAGGAGTGGCTCTCCATTAGGCTGAGTTAAAGAGATGAGAATTAGAATGTTATCCCAACTATTCTATATAATAAAAGGGAAATATGAAAATTGACCCTAACAGCAGTATGACCAGCTGCTATGATGCGCACTGACCACCAGGGAGCAGACAGTCAACGCAGGAGCTGCCCCCTGGTGGTCAGCGCATTCCTGTAGGGGGAGCTCCCCTCAGCCACAAGCCAGGCTGATGGCTGCGAGCACAGCAGTGGTGGCAGGAGCCTCTCCCGCCTCCTGAGCAGCACTAAGGATGTCCAACTGACAGACATCCCCTGAGAGCTCCAGGGCTGCCAGAGGGATGTCTGACAGCCAGCTTAGGCCTGATCCCCCAGGGAACAGTCCTAAGCTGGCAGGTAAACATTCCCAAAGGGCTCCCGGGCTACCAGAGGATGTCTAACCGCCAGCTTAAGCCCGATCCTCGGGGAAGCAGGCCTAAGCCAGCAGGTGAACATCCCCCGAGTGGTCCCTGACTGTGAGAGGGTGCAGGCCGGGCTGAGGGACCCTCCCCCAACCGAGTGCACAGATTTTCATGCACCAGGCCTCTAGTTTGGGATAAGAAGCACTACAAAAATGGCTATTGAACCTGCAGACTAACCATCACCACCCAAGCGCGGTATTTAAAAATACTGCTGCTACATCAAAACCGGTTTGGCTCAGTGAATAGAGAGTCGGCCTGCAGACTGAAAGGTCCCAGATTCGATTCCGGTCAAGGGCATGTACCTTGGTTGCGGGCACATCCCCAGTAGGGGGTGGGCAAGAGGCAGCTGATTGATGATTCTCTCTCATCGATGTTTCTAACTCTCTATCCCTTTCTCTTCCTCTTTGTAAAAAAATCAATAAAATATATTTAAAATAAAATAAAATAAAATAAAAATACTACTGCTACCTCTGTAACTAGCAACAGCTTATATTTATTGAGTATTCATTCTACTGTGGCTTCTAAGGGCTTTCCATATATCATTCAATTCCCACAAAAACCTTGAGGTAATTTACTATCATAACCTCCGTTTTGTAGATGAGAAAATGTAGGCAGAGTTTAAGTAAATTGCTTGAGGTGAAATAACTTATAAAAGAATGAGGAGCCAATTTTTGCAGCAGGAGAAATACTTCCAGGCCCTGAGCACTTAGCCACCACACCTACTGCCTCTCCAGGGAATCAGTTCCATCAGAAGTGTACAGAGAAGTGCTGAAGCTGCAAGACTTCTGGTTGTCAGACTCCTAAAGAGACTTGCTTCTAAATTTCTGCAAGAGCTTGACCCAGGAGAAAAATCAGGGGCAGACATCGAGGAGACTCTCTCTTCCTTGCAAACTTAAAAACAATACTTGCCATTGTGGAAAGAGGAAAAGAGTTCAAAACTGAAGTCTCATTACAACTTTATATCAAAAGAGTTGTGTGCATTGGTTTAATCCCCATATTGGTGCCTTAAGTAGAACACTGACTTTCACCTTTTTGGAAAATTAAACTTGGAGGTATTCTGAATGAAACCATAACAGCAAGGGCACGTGACGAATGCAGCCCGTGTCTGGATGCAGTGCTCAATCACCATGTCTGTTGCCACTCCACAGGCATGCAACGCCACCTGGAAAACAGAGCCAGACCTTAGCATCAAGTTCTAACAGCGCTATTTTTGTGACTTTTATATATATATATATATATATTTTTTTTTTATTTATTTTTTTTTGTGAGGCCTTATCCTCAAGTGATTTCAAATTACCAGAATATTATTCCATAATAGTTCTCATGTGGACACACCAAAGAACTAGTTAGCTATTCATATTAAGAAAATTAAGCAAGGTTGAAAAATTAAAAATGGAATGTTGCAAATGAAGCATAAGATTCATTTAGTAGAGAATTTGATGTAATGGAAAATATAATATGTATGCATGTCTAAACTAGTGCTCTGGCTTTTATAAATTTAGTTCAGTTGTAGCATTGTGGTGAGAACACTAGGTTGAAATAATAATTTCTTCTAGTCTAGAACTCGAGTTGAGTCACTTAAAATTCAGTTTCTTTGGGCCTTAGTGTTCTCAACTAAAAACTAGGGTTAACATGACATGTCATGATACTGATGCAAAAATTAAAAAAAATATATTTACACTTTTTCAAATGCTACAAAAATATAAACAGTGCAGTGCAAAAACTTATTAAATCCTATTTTATAGCACCTTTTTATATTCATATTATAACAATTCTTAACACTGAATGATGAATTACATACACTACTTTAGATATGTTTATTTAAAAAGAAACAAAATTACAAGTTAAAGTCATGATTAACTCTCAATAATTTAGAAAAAATAACTCTTAAGATGATTTTCAAAAAGATGAAAGTTGCCGAAACCAGTTTGGCTCAATGGATAGAGCTTCGGCTTGGGGACTGAAGGGACCCAGGTTCGATTCCGGTCAAGGGCATGTACCTTGGTTGCGGGCATATCCCCAGTAGGGGGTGTGCAAGAGGCAGATGATCGATGACTCTCTCTCTCATCGATGTTTCTAACTCTCTATCTCTCTCCCTTTTTCTCTGTACAAAATCAATAAAATGTATTTAAAAAAAAAAAAAGATAGTTGTTAAGGCATAAAACTGCCATCTTCTCAGGTTGTTGGCACCTGAATAAATTTTCCTTCCATCAAAAAAATGAAAATTATTTTCAAATGTTTTTGAAATCATATATATATATATATATATATATATATACACACACACACACACACACACACACCACAGTGTTACAAAATAAAATAGACAATTTTGAAAATTATTAGGCTAAACAAAGCAAAATAGGACTATATACTAGCAAAGGAAAATCAGATGTAGGAATCTTGAAAAAGCATTTTGTCAAAAAAAAAAAAAAGCTCACATTTCCAATTCATTCTGGACAGAAGCAAATGGTATTGCATTATAACTGTTGTTTCTAGGGACAGATCTCTCAACTTCAGGGTAGGCAGGGGTGTTCAGGATGAAGATGATTTTCTAGAAGTTTCTGAATGGGAAATGTTATAAGCCAGATTCCCCTTTTGAACTGAAAGACCAAAAACAATGCTATACTAGGAAGAGAGAAGCAAAATCTCTATTCTCAGTCCTTTTCCTGAATTCTCTTCTCCTTCTAAGCCTCCCTCATCTATATAGACATCAACAATCCTTATGATTGCTGTCAACCCACTTTTTGTGTCACTCTGAAAGCAGAGCCCAGGAAGGCTGCTGTCCAGGAAAGGCAGCAGCTACAGGGTTATTGGAAGAGTAAAAGCTTCATTTCTCATCTTCTGTTTTTATTTAATCAGCTTTGCAAAGCAAAGTTAAGGCTAGTTCTTATTTTCATGAGTAGCTGGAGAAAATCTCAGAGTAAAAATTATAGGTGCATTTTTCCCTGGAGGGAGAAAGAAGAGAACCAGCACTCACTACGGGCCCATTATGTACTGGCTCTATGCTGGGCCACTGCATGCAAATCTTTCTGTGCTCACAGCACCCCTGAAAGATTTTATTATCCGGATGTTAGAGTGAGGAAACTCAGGCTCCTGGAAATTAAGAGTGCCCACAACAGAGCAGTTCCTCAGGGGCGGATCCTGACCCCAGGCATTCACTGCATCAGGCTGCTCCCCCACAAACCCTCTTAAGGCTCTTACAGAAAAGTTCAGACAATTTACTCTTATACATCTCTCTTTACTGTTCTCACTTCCATTGCTACAGGCAAAGGAGTTTATTTCCCCTCATTTAAACAAAACAACTAAATCTAAGCATAATTTTTATAGGATGGATTTTAGGTCTAAAAGGTCCTATTGCATTATATGCTTCTAATTTCCATTGTTATCAAATGCAGGTCAGAAATAACAGGCAAATAATGATGAGGTACTGATCAATGAAACCATCTAAGCAGGGACCTTTAGCAGGCAACCACTAAGAAAAGGATGGGCTTTTCACTAAAGTGATGTCAAGTTAATTTGATAGCTGTAAAAATAAAATTAGATACTTTTCTCTCACCACACATAATTTCAAATAAATTAGCGATTTAAGTTAAAAAAGAAAATAAACTCGAGTGAATTCCTCCATAACGTAGAGGAGTGGGAAATAATTTCTTAACTATGTCTGAAAATCCACATGCAATAGGGGGAAGGTTAATAAATATGACAGAGTGAAAAATTTTAAGAGCCCTTTCCAATAGCAAAAGGCCCCTTAAAACTGTATGTAAAAAGCCAAACAACAAAGTGAAAATATTTGCAACTTATAGCATAAACAAAGGGTTAATATCCCTAATATATAACAAGCTTCTGAAACAAAGAAAAAGCCCAAAACTTGATGATAAAATGAGTAAGATATTTGGACAGTTCACACAAACACAAAAAATTTTACAAATAGGTTTTAAGGCAAAATCACTTAATAATGCTCAAAATAAGAGAAACAAATATTTAAACTACCTTTAGGGTACTACTTATCACCTATTAAAATAACAAAATTCATAAAGATTGATGCCACTCTATGGGCCAAGCTGTAGGGAAACAAAATTACATGCTTAATTTGTGATCTCACTTCCAAAAATTTATTCAAGGAACACATTGGCAAAAGACATAAAAAAAGATTTACTCATTGAGGCAACATCTGAAATAACAACAAAATAAAAACTAGCCAATTCCCACTGATAGAGGACTGATGAATAAACACAATGAAGTATTCTGCAGCTCTAAAAAGAAATAAGGAATATATACATGGCTGTGGAAGATGTTATTAAATGAAAAACAATGTTACAAAATTCTCAAACTATGTTTGTTTGTTTTTTAATAACTTTAATGGGTATATTGTGGGACAAAACAAGAAATATGGTGATGTCATTAGGAAACAATTTTCTTTTAGCTTAAGAAAGAAGATATATGATAAATAAATGAGGCTAAGCTCAAATCCCATCATCCTGAATTTAAACTGGAAGTGTCAGTATGATCCTTGTTAAAAACAAACAAACAAACAAACAAACAAAAAACAACCACAGTATTGCCTAGCTCAGACCACTAAGAAGCCTAGAAACAAAGGTCAAACCAGTAGCAATGACCATTCCTAGTACCTAGAGTGTGGTAATTTAAATATCATTTTCCTTTCAACGAATGTAGAGCTCCACGGAGAAACAGCTGATAAGGCAGGAAATTCACTAGATGAGCTGGACCAGCTTGCTATACTGAAGGAATGGATGCTATCCACACTACTGAAGCCTGTTCAAAAAGGCTCAGGGGCCAGATCCAAGCAGCTCCCACTGAACAACGGCGGGAATACTGGAGCATCAGTGACAGTAGTAACTGCAATGGACTAAAGTATTTCAAATATTAAATTGATGAATGAATAATCATACTGGGGGAAAAAAACCTAACATTACTTTTGGTCAATAACCAACTCACTTTGAAAACTGGAAAATATTAGAAAAGAAACAAGTTTTATCTGGCATTTCCTATCTGAATGACATCTCGGTCAGTGTAACCGAATAGTTGCTAAAGTAAGCGAAGGCAGAATAAAATTAGAATATCATCGTTTCACAGTTCTTACTGAAATAAGACAGCCAGATGTAAGTGCCTGCAGAAAAAAAAAGGGGGGGGGGGAAATTTCTTTTTTTTTTTTTTTTTGACAGCTATAAGATTAAAATAGCAAGATTATTCTGGATTACATAGGTGGACTCAATCTAATCACATAAGGCCTTAAAATACAGAACTTATTCAGACAGGAAGCAGGAGAAATGAGACAGTCAAAGAGAAGGCCCTGAGTCGGCCTTCACGGTGAGGCCATGAGCCAGGGGGCGTGGGTAGCTCTATAGAAGCTGACAATGACCCCAGCTGAACCAGCAAGGGAGCAGGAACCTTAGTCCTACAACCACTGGAACTGAATTCTACCAACAACCTGAAATGATCCTGGAAGTGGATTGATTATCCCTTCAGGAAAAAGCCAAACCAAGCCAATGCCTGCCTTGAATCTAATGACCCCTGGAGAAGAGAGACTGAGCCCACCTATAGAGCTGTGAGGTAACAACTTGATGTTACTTTAAGCTGCCACGTTTGTGGTAATTTGTTAAAACAGAGATAGAAAGCTAATGAATTTAAGCCTGGTATTAGCCATACCAATTTTTGTATTTTCTTATTAAAAGAAATATGCTGTGAAAAATCATGAAACATGTGGTATAGAGAAAGTTTCTGCAGGAACATGAAGTTGAGTGATTTTTGTTGAGGAATTTGCTATTCTTTCTTCTTAATTACTAATGGTCTATAATTACTACTTATAGTTCTAGAAACTGAACAATTCACTCATTCATTCTATTCAATAATCACTAGGCATTTCCTATGTATCAATATTATGGTAGTGGCTGGGAATACAAAAGTAAAAAATTTGGTTCATTTTCTACGCTCTGTCAATAGTAATAACTGAATCCAAACTATTTAATACATTAATTAACTCAATGTGGAAATTGTGTAAGTTTAAACTCAAAGTTATATGTCTAATGTGTGACTCACAGGGGATCTGAAGAAGCGTTAAACACTGCACACCATTCTCCTTTCTGTTTCTATGTGTATGACTGCCTTACATACCTCATATGAGTGGAATCATATGTTTGT